TTGTCCTCATCTTTGTTATATTCACAATGTTTCGGCCATTGTACACTCTGGCATTCTTCAGGATCTGTCTTTATTTCTGAAATGAGGTATTGTAACTATTTGCATTAACTTCATTGTTCAGACTGTTGTCCTCGTCTTTGTTGTCATATTCACACTGTTTTGATCATTGTATGTTCCGACCTTCTTCAGGATCTGTCTATATTTCTGAGATGAGATATTGTAACTATTTACACTATTTACATTGTTCAGACTGTTGTCCTCATCTTTGTTGTCATATTCACAATGTTTTGGCCATTGTATACTTTGGCCTTTTTCATGTGTGCACAATGTCTGAAACATCATGAATATGGCAACAAAGATGATGACAACAGTCCAAACAATGTAAATAGTGTAAATAATTATATTACCTCATCTCAGTAATGTAGATAAAGATTTCCAACTAAAAAGATATTTTATTACATCAGCATCATATAATTCCATTTGTTCCTTAGCCTGTAAATTTTGATATCCTATTATGTCAGATAAACAATGGGCCATTTTTACTTGATTACAAGAATAGACACAAGAAATGACATATTAAAAGCACTATTTCATTTTATGGAAAGAAAGAAAGAGAGAGGGCAGGAGGAATGAATGAATGAATGACACTCTCATGTCTGCTTCAGTAAAATAGAAAATCTTGAATCTTTTTATTTTTACCCTATTGCAAATAATGATCTTCATTCATATTTATGATTGTTATTGTAATGTTTTGTTAAAGTTGTTAAGCTCAAATATTTAATGACGTAATAGGTGAACTTTTATAGGCATTTTCATAGTTATGGAATTTACAAGGAATCTTATTCAATCATTAAATTAAGATACATCAGTAAAATTCAGAGAGGAAAACCATGAAATTTTTACAGGTATTGCTAGTAAACATAATTCAACCAAAATAAAGTTGACTGTAGCCAGGAACATCAAGTCAATGTGAACAAGTGCATAGAATATGCTTTATCAGGTCTACATACAGTTTTGAATTCAGAGTTTTTCTTCTGGACTGGTTGCCACCCAAGGCTATAGAATCCAGTCTTTCCTACTATTTATCCATAGCAGGGGAGAGAATAGTTGGATTCATACCTTTCTCAAGAGTATTAGCATGTAATTGAATGCAATGAACTCAACTGGAAATCAAACTCATTCCAAGCTGCAATACATTACTCTACCATACCTGACATGAAGTGGAAAGATTATATTGAATCAATTGCTCAGTCTAGTGCTAGGAAATTTGGTTCACTGTGTTGTGCTAGACAATCTTATATGTTTATAAGTCTATCATTTGTCCATGCTTCAAATATTGATGCACTGCCACATATGGTCTGGTGCTCCTGATATATATTTAGAAATTCTTGATAAAACCCAAAGAAGTATCTGTCATGTTATTGGTTATGACCTGGCATCCCAGCTTCAGTCACTTCCCCACTACCACCATAACATAGCTTCCCTGTGCCTTTTCTATAAACACTTTCATGGTAATTGTTCTGATGAGCTTTCCTCTTTTGGAATTTAAGCACAGTACTAGATTTGTGGTAAAGTCTCATCATTTTATAGTTGAATTGGCTAAATGTAACCCGTAATTTTTTTTGCAAACTGTTTTTCTCACACTTCTCGTTTGTGGAATTATATTCCAGCTTCTTGCTTTCCAGCCAACTTTTATCTTCAAAAATTTAAATGCAATGTCAGTTATTATTTACTGTCTTCTTAATTCCTCTTCTTTTATTGTTCTCACTCCTTAATAAGGTTTTTTCTTTTTCTTATTCTTTTATACTCAGTATGTTAGTGGCTTTATTGCCTTTCTTGAGGTGAAATGATTAATAATATCTCAAACATGTTTTCACTTTTGGTTCATAACAGTTGTTGCTGTTTGATTATGACAAAGTGGAACTTGCCAATATGAATCGTTTGTTTTACCAACCTCACCAAGCAGGCATGAGCAAAGTCGAGGCTGCTGAATGGACCTTAAAGTAAGTAACATTTAGTTTTTTTTCTTTCTCTCTGATGTTGGTTTTTTTCATTTTTGGATAAATACTTTTCACGTCAAGGGAGATAACTGAAGCAATTAAATTTTTACTGAGCTTAACTTGTTCAGAGACAAGGAAAATGATAGTAGTGCACCCAATAGAAATTGAACTCGCTTTGACCGTAATGGTCTGCAAAATTAGCAAGAACACTATATGTACAGTTAAACTGGAATGTTTCTCAAGTTATTATTTTATTTTATAAACTAAACCAACCATAATTAATACCCTAGAAATAGAAAAAAAATAACTTTATGATTTAAGTACGAGTTTATTAAAAACAATGTACAGACATAAGTATATATATATATATGCTTGTGTATGCGCGTTTGTATGTGTATATATGTGTGCACATGTGTATATCTACATAAGTACATGCATGTATGTATGTATATATATATGTGTGTGTGTGTGTGTGCAAACATATTAATACAGATTTCTGAAATATTCAGGCCAGTAGATGTAAATAAATAAATGTACTGTTTAATAAATAAATACAAAAAAACAGATCATCTACCCAAATATGAATATCCAGTTAAAACAACATTTAAGCAAATAAATTAAAAATTCTGTCAAATCCAATCCATTTCCTAATAAATATATATATATATATATATATATTATTTTTATGAATAAAAATGACAATAGGAAAACTGGCAATTGCTGACGCGTTTTGGCCAATGTGGACTTTATCAAAGCAAAATACGAAAAATATTTTGATAAAGTCCACATTGGACGAAATGCGTCAGTAATTACCAGTTTTCCTATTGTCATTTTTATTCATAAATATTGTCTTCTCTACCGATTAAATCAGAGAAATTTTCATATATTATTATTATTTATTATTTTAATACCTATACTCATGCAATGTGAAAAAAAACAATTTGTAAATAAAAATGTAATTGAACAAACCAATATCAGGGGAAAATTCAGTAAAAAAAGAAAAGACTAAAGACATTAACGTTGGTTGAAAATAATAAATCAGCACCCCAATGTCTAGTCAAAAGAAAAAATACCGACAGAGTAAATTAAGTAAAAATGTAAAATTGCTCAATACACTAAGTAGAGCAAATCTAGAAACCTAGTGAGCCAGAACCTACCTACCATGGTTTCACCTAATGGATCTTCAGGGTACTACCTGCTTATTTTTTAACTGGATACTCATATTTGGGTAGATGCTCTGTTTTTTTATTTATTTATTAAACAGTACATTTATACTTCTCAGCCAGTAGTACCCTGAAGATCTGTTAGGTGAAACCATGGTAGGTCGGTTCTGGTTCACTAGGTTTTAATTTTTCAATTGTACTGATGATGTTCTTAATGAAAGGAACATTGAAAACAGAATCACTACATGCACGCATACATATATATGTGTGTGTGTGTATATATATATATATATATATATATATATATGTATGTATGTATCTATATATATATATATGTATGTATCTATATATATATATATAGATATAGATATATATCTATATTTCTACCAGCTTTGAGATGAAAAGTCTTAAAGAAACAGTGCCTCTCAACAGGAAACAAACCTGTATTCTCCACTCAATTGGGTAAACCATCCAAGTGCATCTTATGTCCAAACCACAGGAAGCCACCACAGTAAAGCAAGGCTCAACTATCCTACCCAAGAAATGCACATCTTTTGTTGGGACCTTTCAAAGTTCACATCAGCTAACTTTTTTTGTATCCTGATTGGGTAGCTATATAGCTACTTCCTGTTGCAGATATCTGTTCAGGTGCATATGTGTTTCTTCAACACTCTCAGGGCCACCATGTTATTTATAATGCTACAATGCAGAGCCGATCTTTGTTTCTGGGAGAGAGCACACAATCTAGTGTGATCAGTAATTGAATAAGGCCGGTACACTCAAACCTTCAGTCACGATGATTTGTGACACCATGCTCGTACCACCAATGACAAGGCTTAGATAAAAAAACTCAACAAAAACTAGGATATTGGTCCAAATGAAACAAAATACAATTGCTACAAATCCTTGCCTAAAAAAAAAAAATTGTTGGGTTGGTGGGTAAAGTTGTTTTTCATTGCTTGGTCATTATATATTAATTGATGTGCCATAAATCAATATTCTTTTTTTTTTCTTTGTAGAGAAATCAACCCTGATGTAGAGTTTGAAGTATTTAACTACAACATCACCACCATGGACAACTTCCAGCATTTTATTGATAAAATAAAGTAAATCCTTTCATTTCATTCTAGAATGAGTTTCTTTTCAAATCTGTAGCAAATTGAAGAGAATATATTTTGAAGATGAACATGGCTGATCGTAAATAAGAAAATTATATTTTAAACCTAATAGATTTTTAATCAAAATCATTTTACTTCCCCAATCAGATTTTATTAAGCAAGTCAATGTTTTCCCAATAAAATTGATATTAACCAACCAATGAGAGGAAAATTTTCAAGATGTATTTGTTAAATATTAATATTTCTATAGAACGTAAAGTGAGGGATCGGTTTTCTACTGTTATTAAGTAATAAATTGACCCCCCCCCCCTAGAATTACTATACTATGTCAAACTTTATTATGCAAGTCAGAGTTTCTCCAATAAGATTGGTATTAACCAACTGATGAGAGGAAAATTTGAAATATATTTTTCTGGAGCTCTTGCTATATATCTCGAGATTGTCAACGAATTCCAAAAAAGAGTCTGTCTTGATAGAGTTCAGTTCTTTACACAGCCTCATTGGGGATCACATATTTTCTACTGTGCAGAGTTCCTTTCAGATATTTTTTTTCCCAAGAACTATTAATTTGAGGAACAGGATCTTGCATGGATACTTTCCCAAATGCCACAAAATTAACTTCTTTATGTCAAGGGTCAACTATTACCTTTCCTCTATATCTTTATAATCTTCTCTCCTTACTTACACAGTCATATCACATGCCTAATTCAGTAATCCTCTACCTTGAGTGGCTTTTGAGTCTTGTATTGACTTCGCAGATGATTGATTTGAGCAAGTGAAAATTCTCTTACTATAAATATGAAACTGATTTAGTATATATTAGTACCTCTGTCCCATAATAGTTGTTAGATTTACAGAGGTACTGCATTATATTATTATACCACCTCTGTCCCAGAAAAGTTGTCACATTTACATGCACATTGTATATATTAAGTGTCACATTTATTATGGGACAGAGATATTATTTATTTAATCCTACCTCTGTCCCAGAAAAGTTGTTACGTTGTTTTGCATCATTTCATACATAAAATGTCACATTTATTATAGGACACAGTTATTGTTTATTTAATCTTACCTCTGTTCCAGAAAAGTTGTTATATTTGCATACAATTTTTATACATTAAGTGTAACCATTATTAGAGCAAAAAGATAGTATAAAATATCTAATTATTACAGGACAAAGTATAAAATATCTAATTATTAGAATAATACAAGAATAACATTGCTTGTTCAAGTATTTGCTTTTGAATTGACAGGAAACACAATTCTGTGATTGCAGCATTTATAGAAGTACATCAGTGAAAAAAAAAAACATTTTTGTTTGCATCAAAAAAAAAGCTTCTAAAATAGGGACCATATTTCAAAACTGTTAATTATAGATTTTCAAATCTGAAACATTCTTTAATGCAGAAGAAGAAAATTCTACTTCTAATGTGAATATTTAATGACGACAGTTTATTCTTTCTTCAGGACAGGTGGCCGAGAGGCAGGCACTCCTGTTGACCTTGTACTGAGTTGTGTGGACAATTTTGAAGCCCGAATGGCTATCAACACTGTAAGTAAACTTCTAAAAAATATCTGAATATGGGCGGTACTTAAATTAACTGGTCTTGTATAAAAACAGGGAATAAATTGGAAGGAGGACAATTTTTGTAGGTTGGTATTTTAGACTTTCTAACCACATGATGTAATGAATATGCATACACCTGGGTTCCCCCTCACAGTAATATGATTGGCTGGTGTCAGCCATAAATACAGACTGATGTGGAGGTACATGGACTACGCCTATAGTCTTCGCCTATTGCCTAGGCCTATTCCCTACGCCTATTGCCTACCACTACAACAAGGACTAGTCCATTACGGTTACCTGCTAGATTGTCCTACTCAGCTACAGTAGTCAACAACCACTTTGCTACTTTGAACAAATATATCCCTTTTCGAGACATATCACCACATTTGTCAGAATCAAAAAATGTTTGTTTTTTTAATCATTTTAGAAGTGGGAGTTATGTTCATTATATAAATTAAGTGTCAAAAGGAACCCAACTTTAAAAAAGAAAATTTTTTAATCATTTTAGAAGTGGGGGTCCTGTTCCTAATATAAATTCAGTGTCAAATCGATCCCTGACTTTTTTAAAGATTTATCAGTACTTTGTTTTTATTTACAAATGTTGTTATATAGGAATAATGTGTTGCTACTGACACTGGAGTTTGAACACAGATCACCAGAGAGCAAACACAGGCGATCCCATTTTGAATAATTAGATCACATGATGGTAAAGGAAATATATATTTGGGAATTAGTGTGGTGTCTAAGTGATCACCATTTCTACTCTATTCCCTATTACTATATGGTTAGCTATTCTCTATACTATTCCTCTATACTGATCACTATTCAGATCACTATTTGGTGGTTACTTTGCGAGCGAGTATTATTGAGTAAGTATTATTAGTGCGAGTGTTAGTCAAAGGTGTCTAACACTGGTATTGTTCAACGGCATTACTATAGTTGTATCTGCAATTACAAAGTCTCTACTACAACGAGCATTACGAAAGTGACAACATATATTCATTGACATTACAAAAATGGCAATGAGCATTTGTTGACATCACAAAAATATCAAATTTGAAACTGTGTTTACTTTGCTACAGAGCACAGTGTAAATTTATGACTTTCTTAAAGGCATTATTTCAAAGTGAACACAAGAAACCTCAGCTGGAATTTTAGAATAATTATTTTTAGCATGAGATTTGAACTTAAAAGTTTGTGAAAACAAATATTATAATTGACAAGCCCTTGTTATTAATTATCACTATTTTCCCTGTTCTTATGATGTAACGGTTTATTGATATTTAACAATGAAATAGTTTGTGGGTTTCCCCACTTGGCTTTGCTGAAAGTATCCATTAGGTTGTGCTATTTAAGTCTATAAAAAGGCAAAGATATTCTTTCTCTTCTTTTTCCTCTTGCTTTCAGATGTAGTTGAATGTAGATAAAGAACGATGCCGACGGGGCACATTTGCTTCCTTGGTCCTCTGTCGACTGAACTCATGTACACACATATGCATATGTATCGCACACAAACAAGCACACTCTTATAAATAGTTTTAATGTCTTTTTCCTTTGAGTTCAATTGTATACACATGTAATTTCTGTCGTTAATAACATGGATTGTGGTTTGTTTTACTTGTTTTTACCTGAGCATCATAAAATCCCACAAGTTAAGCAACTTCATAGTTAATTATTCATAGTCTATTATCTTAGACTATGTTATGAAGTAGAAAATTCTTTTCTCTTCATACTGCTGTGTTTACACTCTTATTTCTACCGAATGAAGAACAAGGCCACATCACGTTGAAATACCGGTTCCCGTATGATCACTGGTTAAGCAACATCGAGCCTGATCAGTATCTAGATGGGTGACTACTTGGGGATACCGGGTGCTGTAAGCTTGGATATGTGGGTGGTGTAATACATAATAACTCAGAATTGTTAATCAAAGAGCTGAGTTTCAATTCCAGTTGGATTCATTATATTCGCTTACAAGCAAATAGCCTAGTGAAAGGTATGAATCTACCTCTTTTCCCCTCAGCTATGGGCTAGCTAGTAAGACTTGTATCTCTGAATCGTTATTAACTCCCAAAAACAAAAAAAAATCTTACAATCTAAAAATATGTCCTGGCTTTAAATAACCTAAGGGTTGATAATAAATCAATCAATCAAATACTAATTAGCTACAAAGGCATGTCTTTTAAATTTATGTACATTGTATAGAAACTATGTGACCACGGAGTGAGGGATCAGTTTATATATTGATGCAATATAGAATTGACCCCCACTTTATATCCACATTATGATTTCTGGTTTGTTTATCAAATTCTGATTCGGTATGAATCCACCTCTTCTCTCTCTGCTATGGGTTAATTAGAAGTACTTGCATCAGTAAATTCTTATCTCCAAAAAACAAAATTGTTACAATCTAAAAATAAGTCCTGGCTTTAAATAACCTGCAAAGGGTTGATAAACCGTAGAAAACAAATAAATCAATCTAATGAAGAACAATGGCTCATGATTTTTGCAATGTAAGTGAAGGTGAAAAAAAAACAGTAGAAACTTATGCGACTGAGATGCATACAAAAGTAAATACAAAAGCAGCAGAGACCTTCTCCTTTTAATGTGATACATACATAACCAAGATAAATCATTTGGGGAGAAATGATATCGCTATCGGTCTGCATTCAATTTAGTTGTTTCATATCAATTCCACTTCCTTTGTTGCCATGTGGATCTATTCTTAGAACAGGCTGCTTATTCAACTTTAGTCTTTGGGGTTATCTCAGCACAACTTTTACTGACTGGTCTTACCTTCCTCTTGCACACAGCTTGTACCAACAGACCATTTTTTTGATGTCAGTGGGGTTTAGAAGTTAATGTTTGACTCTGGAATAAATCTCTTCTTTTTTTTTTTTTGCCTTTCAAAAAGAATAAACTCTTTTATAGAAAGAAAGAAAAACATGAAAGTAAAATTACAATTAAATTTTTCATCGGATTGTCATGGATGTCAGCTATATGGAAGAAATGTTTATTCTCCCATTTAATTTCCCCCATTATGGGAATTATCATATCCATGATATAATAACACCGTATTTCATGAACATAATGGAATAGCTGAAAGGAAAAGGAATGACAAACATGCTTTGTTTTTAGAGAGACTTTTATACCACTAAGATATATATACATATATACATGTGTCCCATGTAGAAAACAATATCATATATATATATATATATATATATATATATACACACACAGCAGAGTGTTAAGAGAAACAAAAGGGAAAGGTCTTACATGTAATATGGAGATACTTCTGTGTATAGAGAAGCCATATTTAGGACTCCAGATTCAAATGGGCTGGATTCATCTACTAAGTCCCGGTTGAGTACATATTCCATGAATGGGAAACAGCGTGTCTTGGATTTTCCCAAATTGAGGACTACGAGCTGGAGTTTCTTTATATCTGGGTAAGATATATTTTCAAAGGGGAACAGCACCATGGACTTGTAAGCTGCTGGAGAGGCAGATTTAGCCTCTGCCCAGGATAAAGAAAACAACCTTTAGGTTTGGCTCCTGTAAACCGACTGAAATTGAATCCTGCTTTTGTTGCTGTATAGCATGATGTCATTAACCAGTTGCCACATGACCCACAGAGTTATCTCCATGAAAGGGGACCAGGTTTATTTATTGTCTATTCATAATTATTTTCAGGCCTGTAATGAAATTGGCCAGGTGTGGATGGAGTCTGGAGTCAGTGAAAATGCAGTTTCAGGTCATATTCAGGTCATTAAACCAGGAGAGACACCATGTTTTGCTGTAAGTGTTTTTTTTTTGTTTCATTCTCTTCTGCAAATAGTTGTGAAGAAAAAATATAGTCTGCGTTTAAATTCTGCCATATCAAAAAAAAAAAAAAAAAAAAAAGAAAAAAATTTTTATTCCCTCCAATATTCTAGATTTTTTTGACGTAAAGATAAAACGGAAATCATCAAAAAGAATAAAATGCGAAATTAATTGCTGAAATTATTATATATGTGACGAGCACAGACAATTTTTATGATGCTTAACATGCTCATCTCTTTGACTAGTTCATTTACCATTGGATTCTTAGAGGTGCCCTGATTTTGTGACCTTGAACCAGACTATGCTTTTTGAATGACTTTACCTCACTATTGGGTAATGGTTAATGAGCTACTTTCACAGGTGTAATGTGTTTGATCTTCAGGGAATGACAAATAATATTTCTTAGATGAGACATTGTTATTAATTTTTGACTAGTATTTCCACTATCTTATCTCTGTTGTATTTTATTGCAACTCACAAACTGTCATTCTACGATCATTAGCAAGCAACTGGAATTGAAAATAAAGAATTATGCCCGAAGCTTCTTCGTTGCCTTCAATTTGCACTTTTTAGTAATGGCTGTAGAATAATGGTAATAAAAAGCAACACGATGAAAAAAATACTACCTACTCGAAAATTAATAAATAAGTAATATTCATGTAGAATAAGATGATAATTTTAAGATTAAAATAAAAAAGCAAATGCATAGACAGGGTTGGGATTTGCTACCATCAAAACCCCCATTGGGGTGTCAGGCACAGGTCTAATTGGGGGCCCTGGGAAGTGTTTTGTGACTGTTGCTATTTTATCAACATTTGCTTTTATCTACCTACATTTATATATGTTACAAGTTAAACTAAGTACAACTGACTGATAAGGATAAAAAAATTTTGTGGATTTTGATGTCATTTTAAAGTTTTTTTTTTTCTTTTTTGCCCAAATCTGTGAATTTATTTTGCTCATGCTAAATCTTGAAAAAATACTATATAAAATTCACTAGTTTTTATCCATAATATTGAAATTTGAGTTTTCAAATTATTCAACTTTTTAACAAGAAAAATCTCAAGTTGATATTAAAAATTGCTGCAAAACTTTGTCAATTTATTTAAGATGGAATGTTCTATTATGACATGTCTCTAATTTTTATTTATATAAATTGTATTTATTTTCAATTTTTCTCATTGAATTATTCACCTATATTGCATATGATCAGGTTACAATAAAAATTATATTTTATATGAATTCCACCTTATGAAAAAAAACAGATGCAGATTTGAATCTTGTCAAATGCTTATTCTTTTTTTCAACTCATATTGTTTACAAAATGGCCATAGAACAATGTCATAGTCTGGCATGAAATAATGAAAAAGAACAGTTGGAACATTTTTTGTAAATAAATTACTAATTTTTGTTATTACAAATGCTAATTTATTGCTGTTTTAGATTTGTTTTAGAAAAGAATAATAAAAAAAGGCTTTGTGCTGATCAGTTTCTATGACAAACATTTTGAACAAAAAAAAATTGTAAGAAAAGCAGATGATAGTAAAATATATATATATATATATATATATATATATATATATATATATAGTTATCCTTTTTATAAATATATATATATATATATATATATATATATGTATATATATATATATATATATATATATATATATGTATATATATATATATATATATATATATATATATATATATATATATATATATATATATATATATATATATATATATATATATATATATATATATATATATATATATATATATATATATATATATATATATATATATATATATATGTATATATATGTATATATATATATATGTATATATATATATATATATATATATATATATATATATATATATATATATATATATATATATATATATATATATATATATATATATATATATATATATATATATATATATATATATATATATATATATATACACACACACACACACACATGTATATATATATATATATATATATATATATATATATGTATCAGCTGCAGAAGATTTTTTCCAGCACAGGATATCTGTTTTATTGCAATGCATTTTTTTTCTTCCTGAACTTCGAAAATTGAAAAAAAAAGTAGGAATTATTTTTGACATATAAAAGAGAGTAAAAAATTTTGGCAACGTTTAACCTTTGTACTTGCAAAAAAGACCCTATGTCAAAAGGATGGTTATTCCCTTGACACCACTATTATTGTATACACTTTTGATCCCCTTGGCAATGTTGATTAAAATAATCTTAATAAAACCCAAATATATTAAAAGTGGATTATACATTTTCTTAATTCTTGAGAATTGGCAACAAAGATATTAAACTCTATTAGATTGGATGAAAAAAATACTTGATTTCTTAGTTACTTATAAAATGGTAAAAAATAAATATTGAATTTCTGTTCGTTTACATGTTTTGATAATTTTGTAATTTTTTAATAAATTTTTCAATAAAAAGATTTCTTTTTTAGATTTATTTCATTATAAAATGGTAAATAATAAATCTTTATTAAAGCAAAATAATAAATATACCATTGTATTTGGTTTACATATTTTTATAATCTTGTAAGTAAATATTGCCAAGGGAGTTAAAAGTGTTTACAGTAATAGTGATAGCAAGAGAATAAAGGTCATTTGAACAGGTGAAACATTGCCAAGATTTCAGATAGAATTTCCTTGGAATTGTCCAGCTTTTGAGTTAATTTCAGTTAAAGAATTTTCAAATTAAAAGAACTTTGTGTTTAGATATTTTGTTTTATACTAAATTTTAAATTATATCCACACACACACACACACACACACACATATATATATATATACGTACATCTCTTATCTCTTTACTTCCCCTCCCCTTTTTCTTTTACTCTTTTTTCTCTTTTTCCTTTTCCCATATCATTTCTGTTGAGTTGACTGATTAAATAGGTCAATGTCAGATCCTTACCCACTCCTTCTTCAATATTAAGTCTTATAATAAAAAGAAATATAAAAATAAATTTTAAAACTCTCCCTTCCCTCTCTAAACTTGACCATGTCTCTCACACTATTCCTCACCACCCTCTATGTCAACTTATATAAGCTTAATACTGCCTGTCAAAAGTGTAAATTTTAAATTCATTTTTTGTTTCACCTTTTGAAAGCGAAGTCTGAAGATCCAGAAAAAAATAAAATTCTCTGGTGAAATAAATTATTACAAATGGAGCCATAAAGTGGTCTGTTTTTCTTTAAATTTATATATATATATATGAAATGCTGGAATAATTGCATTTATTTTTGTTTTGGTTTTTATTTAAAAACATCCATTTTGACCATGAACAACTGAGGTAATATTTTGGTGGTAATATTTTGAGAAATTTTAGAGAGAGATGTTTGCTGCCAGAGACCCTTTTATAGAACCAAAATTGACACCCACCACTCATTTAACAATTAAAAGCAACTAAATTTACAATCAAAGAAATACTCATCAAAATTTAAAGAATAATTGTAGAAGAATCTTTCTTTCTCTCTCTCTCCCTGTCAAGTGTGCCCCGCCTTTGGTTGTTGCAACAAAAACTGATGAGAAAACACTGAAAAGAGAAGGGGTCTGTGCAGCCAGTTTGCCCACCACCATGGCAGTTGTTGCTGGATTACTTGTACAAAATACTCTCAAGTAAGAAGTCTACTTATTTTGTTTCTTACAAGGAAAAGTCTTTTTGAAAGCATTATTCAAATTCCATTGTTGTTATTATTATTATTATTAATTTTCGACTAGTATTTCTTTCATCTTATTCCTTTTTCTTTTTATTACATGAAGTAATATTTGATGTAATAGTCTTTGAATTTCTCTGATGAAGCATTGTCAATTATTATTAATTTTCGACTAGTATTTCTTTCATTTCATTTCTGTTGCATTTTTATCATATAATAATCATTGAAATTCATTTTTGACTCCTATTTCTTTCAGTTTGTGCTTACACTTAATAAGTCTTAATTAAAAAAAAAGAATTGCCTCAAAGGTTTTCTTTTTATCAAGTGAGGAAATTAAAAATATTTCACTTTATTGCATTGTGTAGTATGTAATTCAAACCAGGAAATATCAAAGCTGAATCAAATTTAATGTCAACATGGAATTATTAAAAAGGTGGGGGTGATCTGTGGTGACCTAAATATGTACTGGGTTCACCCTAAGAGTAAGCTTTGTCACACCAAAACATTATAAGAACCATGTGCATCAAAGAATTGACTTAGAAGGTGAACTTTATAGCCACAAGGTGCAGAAATGCAGCTCACAGGATATCACTGGTAGTGCTGACAAATAAACAACTACAGAACTGGAAATTATATAAATGCCCCACCCATGAGGGACATTGCTAAGTAATGTTAAATGCATTCAGAAATAATATTATTCTTGCTACTCACTATGCCAAGAAAATTCACTGCCACAAAAAAAGATGAGACTACTAGGCAGCCATTTTGAAAAGTTTTATTACATTAAGAGGATTCTTTTATGCAATGATCAGGTCAATCAGATTTTGTTGTGTGTGTGGGGGGGGATATATTCTTTTACGCAATGATCAGGTCAATCAGATTTTGGGTGTGGGGGTGGATATTCTTTTTACGCAATGATCAGGTCAATCAGATTTTGGTGTGGGGGGAATATTCTTTACGCAATGATCAGGTCAATCAGATTTTGGTGTGGGGGGGAATATTCTTTTACGCAATGATCAGGTCAATCAGATTTTGGTGTGTGTGGGGGGGATATTCTTTTACGCAATGATCAGGTCAATCAGATTTTGGTGTGTGGGGGGATATTCTTTTACGCAATGATCAGGTCAATCAGATTTTGGTGTGGGGGGGAATATTCTTTTATGCAATGATCAGGTCAATCAGATTTTGGTGTGGGGGGATATTCTTTTACGCAATGATCAGGTCAATCAGATTTTTGGTGGGGGGAATATTCTTCTGACCAATCATTATTTTATTTTTATTTTTCTTGTTCCAGCCTTCTCTGTGATTCCATTTTATCAGTACATAAAGATAACTTCAAACTCAAATCGTTAATTAATTCCACTACAAATACAGTGTGACCTTGAGTCATGAATCCCTGTCATCATGAACAGATCGGTTTATGAACAAATTTTCTGAACAAAAAGTTTCAGGTGTTGAACAGTGGGGAACGAAAAGAAACCTTAAAAAGGCAGTTATCTGATGTTTTTAATGAAAGAGGACACACTTTCCAAACAATATCTCTCTCCTTTTCTCCTCCTTCACCACCTCCCCCCCTTATGCTGTTAACACCCCCACCCCCCACCAATCACTGTTCAGATTTGGTAAAATGAAATTAAGTTTTCTTTTATATTTTATCTGTTTAGTATTATCTTCTTTTTTTTATTTATTAGATTTAATGACTTTCACTGGTCCTTTGTAGATGAACTTGTGCACAATGTCCTGTTGTAAAAGTTTAAATAAGCAATCATCTGGGATCCTGGAACAGATTAATCCATTTTACATTGATTCTTACGGGGGAAATAGTTTCTGTTCACAAATGGCTTTCAGAAACAAATTGAATTCATGAGCTGAGGGTTCACTGCCCTTCACAGCTTCCCCATTGCTGACATTCTGTTTCTTACTAGACTCATTAGTTCCTTACAGCAATTCCACTCGAGGTTTTTATCAAACTTCAACTGCTGTATTTGTCATTTTGAGCTGTGACTGAATTTTCATTAAACCCCTCCCCCCACCAACTATTTTGGGGTAAAATGTTTCATTTTCAGACAATTTTTTTTTATTTGTTTTTAATAGAGTAACTAAGAAACTGAGGCACGTTGAAATACCCAAGCGGTGCCTAACACCCCTACCAGATGTATGAGTTGACAATTGGATTAGTTTTAGAAGGGCATAAAAAGAATCAAGGTTTTTGAACATTATGTTTTGGATGTGTTTATTCATCTGTGTCTGAAAAAAACACTTTTGGTAAAAGGGTATATACATGCCTACACCAGGGAATGGGGTTAACATTGGCTGTATCAACCAGATTTACAAATCTGCCATTCATCCATGCGTTGAATATTGCTACCATATCTGGCCTGGAGCTCCTGTGATATATCTAGAGATTCTTGATAAAATTCAAAGAAGGGTCTGTAATGTTATTGGTCCTGACATGGCGTCTTGACTTCATTCACTTCCCTCTCTCTTTTCTATAAATATTTTTATGGTAATTGTGCTAATGAGCTTTCCTCTTTGGTACTGCAACCATATAAATTTAAGCATACTACTGGATTGGCAGTTAGGTCTCATTTTACTGTTGAATTAGCTAGATAAACTGTAAGTTCTATTCTAATAGTTTCTTTTCTCACACATCTCATGTGTGGAACTCAGGTCAGGTTTCTTACTGCCCTGCCACTTGAAATCTTCAACAATTTAAATGCAGGATCAATCACCATCTTCTGTCTTCCTGTAACCTGTTCTTTTATTGTCCTTTATCATCACTAACGTCTTCTCATTCTTTCATTTCCAGTAACCCCTTGCATCTTAGTGGCTTTAGTGCCTTGCTTTGGGTGAAATGATTAGAAGAAAAGAAAACTCTGTGATTGTATTTTAAACTCATCTGGCCCTATCTCAGTTTCATATAAAAAGCATTTCTACATTGGTCAATATATTAGATGATGGAAACATTACTGGTCTATTCATATTCTATATGTTGGACAGGTTTGGGCTTCTGTTCTTTTTAATGACATTTCCCCTTAAGGACATACATGGTGCGATGGATAAATTGTTGTGTAAATTACGCATAAATGAAAGTAACACTGACATCTCATTTTAACTAAAGAGTAAATTTATTCAATAAAATCACCATTGGCATCAACCACAGCCTCCAAATGACTTCAGAATCTCCTGCAACTCTTCTGAATGGTCTCCTTGTTTAAGTTGATGAATGCTGTCATAATCATTGCTTTCAGATTGTCCTTGGTGTTACGAGGAGTTTTGTTGGTCTCTCCCTCAACTGCGCCCCAAACTTAATAATCAATAAGGTTGCAGTCTGAGGAGTTAAGTGGCCAGGTGTAAGGGGTGATGTGATCGCAAAAATTGTCTGATAGACATGACTGAGTTTTGCTTGTGTAGCATGGTGCAGAATCCTGTTGCCAGATATAGAATCTTCCAGCAGCCAACCTCTTGATCCAGAGCAGCACTACCTTCTCAAGGCTTGATGTAGGCCTCTGTGTTGGATATAAGAATGATCAGAGTTAGTTTTCTGAGTTACTGTACCTTCATAATCATTGTTAGACTCCTCCAACACTTTCTGAATCCTCTGCACTGTCTGAAATGTTTGTATTGGAGCTTATGTTGTGAATGCCAAGCAGTACAGCATGCCATTTCCACTGACAGAGTGAATTGTGTCATGGTGATCTTTTTCCTACAGAGGGTGCCCAACTGACCCTACTATACTGTGCAGTTGAAAAAATCAAAAACACTGTGCATGCATGAAATTAAAAAAAAATGTCAAAAATTTACCCATTGCACCCTGTAGATGAACATGGCTCTCCACGGATTCTTTTTCTTTATTATCTAGGAATTGGTAGCCACAATCCATAAAAGAGATTCTGTCTCACCTCTATTCATGAGTAAATTGTAAAGGGACTGTTTGTCCATTGTTGTTTCATGGAAGATGAAAGGGGGAAACAATATGTGCATCCTCTCAGTATAGAAATGTACACAACATAATTACTTGTGCATGCCCAAATTTGTGTCTTTGTTTCTTACCTTGTAGATATTTGCTGGAGTTTGGAAGTGTCACACCTTATCTTGGTTACAATGCCTTAGAAGACTTCTTCCCTACAATGCAAATGAAACCGAACCCTCAGTGTGATGATAATCATTGTAAACGACAACAGGAAGAATTCCAGGTCAGAAGAAATACTTCTCTTTCTGTCTGAATTTCCAAGATGACAGGTTACCATTATTTACACTATTTATATTAGGACTATTGCCTTCATCTTTATCATTGATACCACAATGTTTCAGTTGTTGAACCTTCCAGTGTTCCTCAGGTGTATATCAATCTGGGTAACCTAAAAGGAATTTTGGACAGAACACCATAAATTAAATAAAGGTTTCAGTTCAGAATTCCCTGTAGGTTAACCAGATCAATATCACCTGAGGAAGGCTGGAGAGCACAATGGCTAAAACTACTTCAAACTAATGGTTAGGCAGGAAACTCTGATCGCTACTGGAAAGTACTATATCAGTTAACTGACTTGGGAATTTATTTTCCTGAAAAATTGTTTTAAGAAAGATATTATGAATTTCAACTGAAAATAGTAACTGGTTGCTCAGTCAGTAAATGCCAAATGTTTCCTTGTAGCGTTAATATTACCATTATAATTTTGATAGATATATTTTGGTTTCAAATTACATTGCAATAAATATTGTACAAGACATTATCCAAAAGTTCAAGAATATTGAACAGGTTGAATTTCATGCTTAAATGCCTTCAAATCTTTTAGTAATAGTTTATATCATAATTGTTACACTATAATTTTCTGTCTTTTTCCAGAAACGAGAAGCACTTAAACCAAAAGAAACAATATTAGAAGTAGAAATTTCACCTGTCGAGCATGAGGACAATGAATGGGGTGAGTTGATTCTGACAACGTTTTTAAAAAAAATTATTTCAGTTTTCTGTACAGATTTCTAAATAGTAATTTAATTAATTTACTTTTAAAACTTTTGTTTTCCTATTTTCTGAAATATTTGTATAAGTCAACATTTTTCTTGATTCTGTATTTTTATTTTTGTCTTTTGTCTCAAAAAAACTGTGTCAAAAAGATGGTTTTTTCCTTGACACTGCTATTATTTTAACTACCTTCATTTCTCAGCAATGTTTATTTTAAAAAGTAATGATTAGAATTGTATTAAAACCTAAACATATGAAGAAAGTGAATTTATACATTATTAAAATATGTGAACCAACTATAAACAAAATCCTTATTATTTACTATTTTATAAAGTTTGAATCAGTGAGCCAATGTTTTGCCAACCATTCCAATAAACAATATAATAAATAGTGTTTACTACTTTTGTTGTCAATTCTTAAGAACAAAGAAAATTCACTTACATATGTTTAGGTTTTATTAAAATTCTAATAATCACTTTTTAAAACAATAAACGTAGCTGAGGAGTAAATTTAGATAAAATAACAGTGTCAAGAGAAAAAAAAGCCTTTTTAACACACTGTTTTTTTTTGCAAGTAATAAGATTAAACATTACTGTATTTTCATTATTACATACATTTCATTTTTCTAGTTTTCATCAAAACATTGTAGTTGATATGTTCTTCATCTTTGCTTTAAGAGTCAACATTTTAACAGATTTAAAGAGCCAAGTGTCAAAATCTCACATTTGTGATACACCTGAATGAAAGGAATTGCAGCCTATTTGTCTAAGTGTAGATTCGCTTGAGTCATGGGAATTTGGAAAATGTTCAGAATAATTAGAGTTTAGAATCTTTTTTTTATTTTATTTATTGCTGGTAAAGTGGATTTCAAGAAGAACTGACAACAAAATATTTTTCTGTGCTGATTGCAAGCATACAACACAACACTCACTCAAGCTTTCCACTGACCAGCCAATTACTACCCCACATTGCATTTCTATCCTTGATTATGTCAGTGTTCACCAAAAGTTGGGGAAGGGTGCAAGGCATGCTCACAAAATAAAACAATGAAAGACAAGCGCCACACTGAGAAATAAGAATACAAACCTGTTTTCCATATTATATGTAGGTGTTTTATTCAGGGCTTTGCCTGCTCGTCCAGGTTGGTGGGTAATTCATACCTGTAACAACTTCTGTAAGGGCTTGGAGAATTTGACACCCACAGGACATATTGAAAGCAAGAGGGACAAAGAAAAGCAGTGCATAGCCTACTTGACGAGCTTGTGTAAGTGGATGGCAGAACACCATTTAGGAGGGTTCCTGGGCACATAATGAGGAAGGAGGGCTTAGAAAATTTGATACCCACATGACATATTGGAAGCAAGAGAGATAGATGTGAGTATCAAATAACCTTCCTAACAAGACCGTGTAAATGGTTTGCAGAACAAGGATAAAGAAAGATAGCAAAAGGATGAAATTTACTATGAGCTACAAAAGACAGGAAATTGTGGAGAGCCATGATCATCAACACCCTGAAGAGACATGTCACATAAAAGAAGAACAAGCTTGTATAAATGGTTGGCAGAACAGAGATTAAGAGAGATAGCAAAAGGACAAATTTTATTAAGAGCTACAAAGGACCAGAAATGGGTGAGACATGATAACCAACGTCCTGAAGGGACACATCCCATAGAAGAAGAAGAAGAGTGGTGCAATATATTCCTGCTTTATTCTCCCTATTCGTATGGCGTTGTGCATATGTAATTCCCGTACTTGCCTGAATGTTAAACCTTTCCACTGTAGTCAATTTATATAATACCAGGAATAATCAATAAATCCTAGATACCATTGAACATCTAAAAATACAATTGGAACAGATTAATTAATCGGTTCATTGGCGTCTATTTTAGTTGTGAATTCTTTATCTCTGCTTTATTAAATTTCAATACATTTTTGCAAGACATTTGTTTCATTGCATCTCACTATTAAAATTTTCTAACAGCTCATGCTTGTCAATTTTGACAGCACAGTACACTAATATAAGAATAACAACAACTCATCTGCTATTTTTAATCAAGATTTAATGTAATAGTCTTTGAATGTCAATAAAGAAGTGTTGTTCTAGGATAAGTTGATCTGTGGTGACTCCCAATATGTACTGGGCTCACCGAAAGAGATACAAAGTAGGCTTTATACTCCATCTCATATCAGAGCTTCAGAGAAGTCAGGTGCATCAGTCAGCTGACCTGAAAGAAGAACTCATAACTACTAGATGCAGAAACAATGCTCAAAGGATGTCGGTGGCTGCAACAAACATGTAAATGACTGCTTGACACAGTTGAGCTTAGGATGTATACACATAGAATATGTACATAGTCCAAACCGGATGACAGGAAGTTATATGCAAAATTTGCTCACATCCTATGATAATATTAATTGACAAAATCCAAGAGTTAGCTCAGTTTCCACCAAAATCCCAAAGATACAGAATATGAGCTCAAATTGTACCAAGATCCCAAAGATAAGTGATATAAGCTAAAATTTTGCTAGGATCCCATAGATAAAGAATGCAAGTTCAAATTGCATCAGAATCCAAAAAGGGAATCCAAGGGATACATGCTCAGATTGCAACAGAATCCCAAAAGCTCAACACACATTAGGATCCCACAGATAAGGGATTTGAGCTCAAATCTCATGAGGATCCCAAAGATAAGGAAAGCAAGCTCAAATCTCATGAGGATCCTAAAAGGTAAGGAATGTGAGCTCAAATCTCATGAGGATCCCAAAGGGGTGCAAGTTCAAATCTTACCAGATGCTTATTCTTTATGTCCATTTGATACTGCTTACTTACACCATAGATAAAATAAAAAATAAGACTCAAAAGTTAATAAGGTTCAATTTTCTTGTTTTCTTCTTTGTGTTCCAGAAATTGAACTTGTATCTGAGACAACAGATGAAGAATTAAAGGCTGCTGAAGGAAATGTGCCTGTCTTATCAGAAGGAATCAAATTGGAATATACAGTGCCTGGAAGTACGGTAGGTCTTCTTTAATTACAGTCAGATTTCAGAAACCAAATTTTCAAATGCAAGATTATGATGAATCAGGGTCACCTTATACATAGCTTCATTATTTTGAAATCTAATCACAATGAATCGGGTAGGAACTCTTAGTGTAAACATGCTCAGGGGCGCTCTTTCGGGCTTTCACTGACTGGTTGTGTTTGTATCAAAGTACATTCACAAAGAAAAGTGAAATTAATGCCACAGTGAGAAATAGATTTGGTTTGGTTGTTTGAGGGATATACTTGTACAGCCTCTTGGTTAGTAGGTAGGTAGGTGACACTTGGGACACTTTCTGTTACTTCTGCATGATAGATTAATGAATCCGTTCTTCCTTTTGGTCATTATGAAGCATGGCTTACAATTTACCCATGAGTGTCTCGAAATTGCTTTTTAACAGGCAGTTCAGTACTCCTTTGTTCATTCTATTACTCTGCTTATATAAACCTGAAACCAAGAAATTCCAATCACCTGAAGAAGGCCGGAATGTACAATGGCCGAAACATTGTGAATATGACAACAAAAATGAGGACAACAGGCTGAACAATATAAATAGTGTAAATAGTTACAATACCTCATCTCAGAAATAGAGACAGGTCCTGAAGAAGGCTGGAGCAAAAAACAGCCGAAACGTCTTGAATAGGACAATAAAGATGAGGACAACAGTCTGAAGAATATAAATAGTGTAAATAGTTAAAATGCCTCATCTCAGAAATATAGGCAGATCCAGAAGAAGGTCAGAGCGTACAACAGCCAAAACATCGTGAATACAGTCCAAACAATGTAAATAGTGTAAATAGTTACAATACCTCATCTCGAAAATATAGACAGATACTTAGCGGCTTTATTGCTTTGTTTTAAATGACTGGAAAAAAAAAAGGATGTCACCAGATTAAAAGGCATGACCTTCACAAGTTGTTTTAGCTTTGATACTTGGATTAATAAAATCCACATGACTTCTTGTATTTGCCATTCAAATATTAACTTTGTATTTCTCTATTCATGTTCTTTTTTCCTCTTTCAGTCGACAACAAATGAAGAAACAGTTGGAAACACGGAACTGAGTATAGATGAGTTAATGTCTCAGCTGAAAACAATCTAGATGCCATCTTCAAGGGACCATTTCTTGAAAAAGATCTGCTTTTTCTTTTTTTGTTTCTGTTACAGACAGAAACAACATCGAAGGATAATTATCCTGAATGGAGAGTTAAATTCAACTCTGTGACTTAAAAACAATTGAGTCTTCAAAAGTTAATCAATGCCAAAAATTTACCTTTAATAACTTCTGCTTAAAATTCAATCCTGGATTTTTGACATTCAGGGAAATTTTGGAAAAAAAACCTTTGAATTACTTAAAACTATAACTGAACTGTTCAGAAGAATCAAGACTATAAACATCTCTGCATGAAATTTGCATCTTTTAATATTTATTTTAATTAGTGTATCCATGATGGCATATTTTGTCCTTACTATTAAATATATTTTTCTCTGTTATTATTATTTCCATTTGTGCATCCATATGTGGATACCCTCCAATCCAAGTTTTGGACTTTAGATTTTACAAAGATGATCTTTGTTTTGCATTATTCAGACATAAAGTTGCTGCAGCAATGTTTAACCCTTTACCTGCAAAAAAAAACAGTGTGTCAAAAGGATATTCCCCCCCCTTGACACTGCTATTATTTTAACTACCTTCAATCTTATTAGAATTTAATCTGAGAACTGCTACTACAATGTTTTACAAATTCATGTTCTAGCCTCTTTTCTGATCATTGTCCCAACATTTTCCCCTGCTTCCAAACCCTTGATCTTTATCAGAGATAAAAATATATTTTCTGACAAATGAGAGAGCTGGAAAATATAAAAAGGAGTCTGACCATTCTTGCCCTCAGCATGGTGCCATAAAGTTTTGGGGTTAACGCTCACAACTTGTCAGATCCTTGCTTCCAAAAAGCAACTCCCAAAACTTTGATTCTTGTCAGAATATATTTTCTGACAAATTAGAGAACCGGGAAACTGAATAGCAATTTTGGAGGGAAATATTCCTGATATTTTTGAGCCTCTTAATCTCTATAAATATGGAGAATATGTGCCTCTTTGGCATTGAGTACTTGACATCGTCTGTGATAACATCAGGTCAGCAATAGAACACGAGTCATCTTCAGAACCTGTTTCAAGAAAGAGATCTATCTGCTGGGCTCTAAAGAAAGAACATCGACTTTCTACTAAAAGCATTTTCTTCTTCTATGTCACACCCTGAGCAGGAGTGAGTCTTTATTCCTCTGCTTAAAAGAGAGAATTGTCTGCTCTAATCTTTCAAGCCGTTTCACATTTAATCATAACCATTTCATGTTGGAAAGCTGGGACTAGTTTCTCACAATCTTTGGCAATATTTGTTTTCAAAAGTGATTATTAAAATTGTAATAAAACCTAAATATATGAAAGTGAATTTATACATTTTCTTCATTATTGAGAAATGACAACAAAAATAATAAACCCCATTTATTTATTAGATTGTTTATTTACGCTATTTATTATTAGTTTTAAACTGTGAAAATTTCACGGTTTTTCCTATTTTAAATTTCTGATGAATCTTAATTCTTCAGTTAATGATTGAATGAGCTCATGCAAATATAATAATATAAAATATCTGGAGAAATTCCCCTATCACTTTGTTAAATATTTGAGCTTAACAACTTTGCAATAACAATCATAAATAGGAATGCTTGTCATTATTCTAAGAAGTAAGGGGGTACAAATGAAAAGATTTGAAATTGACAACTTTTTCCATTTCACTGAAATACTTCTCTCTCTCCTCCTTTTTTCATTTTTGCACAGAAACAAAATAGTGTCTTTGATATGTATTTTGTCTTTTCATGCAATCAAAACAGAATAGTTCATTATTTATAAGGTATCTTTTTTTCATTGAAACCAAATAGCGTCTCTGATAAGTTGTGTTTTTCCACACAATCAAAATGGAATAGTCCATTATTTATAAGGTATTGACAGGGCGTAACAGTCATGCAAACTAAGCGAGAGGCAAGTACAATTATAATAGGATATTGTTTATTGGAATGGTTGATAAAACATCAACTAATTGTCAATTGATTTAAAGTTTATGAAATGGTAAATAAGATTTCCTTTTAAGTGGTTCACATATTTTAATAATTTAGTAAATGTTTATAAATTTATGAATAAAAAATTGTTTTCATATTCATTTCTTTATAAATTGGTAAATGATAAATATTGCATTGCAAGAGTTACAATTAAATTAGTCATTAGAAAGCTTTAAATATAAAATTATTTTCGTAAATGAACAATTTAATAAATAAATAGTGTTTCTTATTTTTGTTGCCAATTCTCAAGAACAAAGAAAATATATAAATTCACTTTCATATGCTAAGGCTTTATTACAACTTTTAAAACAATAAACATCGCCAAGGAGTGAAGGTAGTTAAAATAATAGCAGTGTCAAAGGAAAAACTGTCCTTTTAACAAACCATATTTTTGCAGGCACAAACGTTAAAGGTTGCTAATACTGTCATCTGGTATTGACAGTGCAAACAAAAGAACACTTTATTTCACTTGCACTGGTATTAGATTACATGCACAATAAGCAAATGCATTTGGTGCATTATGTTTTAAAATAATTGCTTTCTTAGTATAGTCTCATTCAATGAAAACCCATATAGAAGTGCATTTGTATATCTTTATATAATTACCAGTTACTTAAGTTTCCCTCTGCAGTAAGGATCATCAGGCAGGGTTAATATTTTTTTTAATTTAAGCATCCCCAAATTTCAGCATTTAAATGTAAATTTTTTAATAAACATAAATGCATTTTCTATCTGGATTGGATATTGGGCAATGGAAATTTTTGGTGTGTATTTCAAATCTTTTATTTAACAACAGGGCAGAACTTATGAATACCAACACTACCAATGCATTGTTGTTTAAAATAAAAAAAAATATATATTTACCAAACCTATGATAATATATACAAACCTATATATATATATATATATATATATATATATATATATATATATATATATATATATATATATATATATATTCGACTCTCCCCCATTCAATCCGACTTGACCTGGTGCACTACGTGCTATAGGGTCCCCAAACGACCCTCTGCAGGTTTTGAATTCAGAGTTGTCCTTCTCCTAGACCAGCTGCCATCCAAGTCTATTTGGTCTATATATATATATATATATATATATATATATAAAACATAATAATAAAATAATCTATAATAATAAATTACATGAAAACAGATGCATAATACTACTGACCAACTCTGTCACGTCCACTACCCAGAACAACCTACCTCATATATAGTAATATGCATATCGTAATAATAATAATAATTATATATATATATATATATATATATATATATATATATATATATATATATATATATATATATATATATATAACATAATAATAAAATAATCTCTCATTGTATTCAATGTATGAGGTCAAGCAGCTCAGTTCCTAGGAACCGATATATAAGACACCATTGTACATGATTTGATTATAGTGGTTCCTAGGAACCGACAACAAGACACCAGTCATTGTGCAGGATCAACCACACTTTTTGAAGTGCTGAATACAAAGACTTGGTTCACTACATGCTACAAGATTCCCCCAAACAACCTTCTGCAGGTTTTGAATTCAGAGTTGTCCTTCTCCTAGACCAGTTGCCATCCAAGGCTATAGAACCCAGTCTATCCTGCTAATTACCCATAGCTGGAGGGAGAAGAGGATTACTACCTTTTGAATGTAATGGATTCAAATTGGAATTCACACTCACCGATTCATCAATCCAAGCTGCTATCCACTACTCTGCCATGACTCATATATATATTTATATATATATATATATATATATATAATCAGGTGTAACAGCAAAATTGTCCAATTGTTAGATTAAGCTTTGAACCATTTGTATCTGAGAGATGATTAACGATATCTTACTGGAATTATCCAAGGTTCTTATAACACTATTGGACTCTACTTTGAACAGTAAGAATGTATTTAGCTCTCAGTTGAAATGATGATCCCTCTTGCTGTTGTGACTTTGTGATCCAGTTTTCCTTTCCATTGCTCCCTCTTTTCTAAACTTATTCACCATTCTCTTGATGGTTCTTGAATAGACTTTGAAGATGGAAGCCAGAGTATGAATGTTGACACCATTACAGAAGGCCTGAATGATCTTTTCCCTCTCACCATTGCTAATCTGGGATGACAGTAAGTTTGGTACAAATGATTTTAACCTGTCCTCTTTCTAACTGAAAAAGTTTTTTCAGTGATTCTTACAACAAATGGTATCAAGAAGGTTAAATGCCTTATCTGAAAACCTGAGAAAAAGAAAATAGATTAGTTTTTTTTTGTTTTTTTTTTATATTAAACATTTTGTGGGATGGACAATTATGCTGTTACACCCGGTGTGTGTGTATGTATGTATGTATATATATATACACGCACACACACATTATGAAATGGACAAAGTCTGACAATTATTTTAAGACATTTTTATGTTTATACATTCTTTTTTATAAATACAAGTATTTTAAGTAAATGCTCTGTTTATAATAAACAATATTAACAACATTTAGCAGTCTGAATGTCCAAGAAATTATCATAGAAAATATGCATCCTCCAACAGGAATCGAACCTATATCCTATATGGAACCGTCATATAGCCTGATGTGCTTTTACCGATTTTGTCATGGAGGACGCATATTTTCTATGACAATTTCTCGGACATTCAGGTTGGTAAATGTTAATACTGTTCATTATAAACAGAGCATTTATTTAAATATTTGTATCTATTAAAAAGAATGTATAAACATGAAAATATCTTAAAATATATGTATATATAATTACACACACATGGGGTTATATCTGGTGCTGGATGAAGGGGTTATAGGAGTATATTATTATTATTATTTTTCAAGCATCTAAACCTATGGTTCTCAACCTTTTTTGCCCCATGCACCCTTTTCACCAAATGTCAGAATATCATCCCCGCCTTTCCAAGATTGTCCGACTCAAAAGGTGCATTCCAAATAAAAATACATACAT